TCGTTGGAGGACGAAAAGGGGGAAAAACCCCCTTTAAAAAAGTTGGGTGTGAGTAAAGGTTCCAATTTGCCCAAATTAAATTGCCAGCGGGGGTGCGAAGAGGTGGCGAATATAAAAGGGGAAGTAAGAAGGGTTTGGGGAAATAAACACTGCCCTTTTAAGTCCGGGAGAACAGACCAATTTAATCTAATGCGGTGGGGGAAGAGCAATAAAGAAAACTTTGCAAGAGAGAGTAGAGCCCCCGAGGTTTCAAAAGGGGTTTGAGTCCCTTTGTATTTAAAACATGGGGGGGGGGGGTGGAAAGGGGAAAAGCCTCTAACAAATTTCCAGGGGAAAAATCACATTTTGAGACCCCCCCCAGGGGAAAAGGGTTTGGGCATTAAAATCACCAAGTAACAGAATGGGTTTGGCGGAAAAGACGAAAAAAAGGGAAAAGGCAAAATCCGGAATAGAAAAATCCCGAGAAGGGGAGAGAGATTTAAGAACGAGCATATACCACCTATGTAAGTGGAAAAGGGTTTGCTGTTTTAATGGCGAAGTATGAACAAATAGCATGGGTCGGAAAATCAGTGCGGAAAAGGAAAGGGAAAACTTTCTTTAAAAGGCCCCATCGGGAAAAAATGATCGAAGAATACAATAAATTATAGCCGATTTGAGAAAAAAACCCAGAGTGAAATTTTGGGTTTTTCCTGTAAGCAAACCCCCAACAGGGGGCAAAAACGGGGAAAAGTAACATCTGAAGCTCCCCCCGATTCCCCTAAAGGCCGCGAAATTTTTCCATGTAAATAGGCATGAGGCAATGAAAAAGATATTTAAAAACCGCAGGAAAGGGGTTTTCCCTAGGGACTAAAAGGGGTTTAGAAAAGTCCACATCGGAGGCAGAAAAAATTTGTTCAAGCGGGCGGAAGGAACGGTGCGCTGTGAAGAAAGGAGTTGCGCAGAGGACGGGGGAGAGGAAAGAGGGGGGAAGGTGGTCAGTGTCCATTGAGGGTTTGGTCTCTCCCAATATATTCAAGATTGCTTAAAGTTTTTTTGGAATTAGGGGATGTCGTATGGGAGGAAAGTTTTGGGGAATGGTGGGGGGAGGATGATAAAATTGGAACTGTTTTGGGGACTGTCCCAAAAGGTGGGGGGGGGGGGCAAAAGGGGTGGGGGGAAACCGGGAAAAGAAAGCGGGGCGGGGGCAAAAGAGGCAGGAACCTGGGGGGTTTGGCAAAAGGGGAAAAACTTGGGAGGGAACAGGGGGAAGGGACATTACGAGGAGGGTGAAACCCCTGCACTTTGTTAAATGAGCCCGTGAGAGGGGGAAGAACTAGGGAAAGACAGGGAGGGTAAAATGAGGGGTGGAAGATGGGTAGGTGTTACCGGACCCCTTTTTTTTTATTTTTGAAATAGAGGGAAATATTTGGGGGGTGGGGTCGTACGAGCTCTCGTCGTTTCTGAGGTTGTGAGAGAGAACTCGAAGAAGCGAGATTAGACTGAGGCTTGAAGAGGGACCCTCTGACCGAGGACCCGCAAAGGGGAAAAAGAAAAAGGAGTGATTATGGGGGAAAGGGAACCACAGAGGTGGGTGTAGAAGAGGGAAAACCAGAAGTGGGGGGACGTTTGAAACACGGGAATAAGAAACACGTGGGGGTCTCCCTTGGGGGCGGGGATGAAAACTGCCATGGGATAAGGGGGACCTTCGGGCTTTTGGGGGGTTAAAGGGTTTCCCCCCTCCCTTTAAAAAAAGACCTGAAAAACGGCGGAGTACGAAGGGTGAGCCTCAGGGCAGTTAAGGGAAAGGGGATCATTGCAAAAACCCTATTAGAATGGTCATCGGCACCCCCAGACTGGGCATTCGGCGATAGATCTGCAATATTTCGCTGGTGGCCAAATCTCCAGCAAAATTTTTACCGTTGTTGGGGGTAGGGAAACACCTTTTGAACTTGGTTTAACCCATTCCTCTATATAAACTGAAAGGGGGGAGTTCTCGGCTGTAAAAGTTAAACGAGGGCCCCATTGCAGGGTATCGTCCCGCCCCCGGGGGAAGAACGTAAGGTCTACCTTGAGGATTGGGGGGATCTTGGAGTTCCCAAACTTTTCTAGAATGTTTATGCCCCCAGGCTGGAAATTTTGTTTGAACTTTGGTAAAGGGGCCCGAATGACGGTACCCCAAAAAGAAATTTAGGGGAAAGATGTTTTTTAAGAGTGACAGGAACAGTATCGATATGGGAAAGCGAAGAGCTCAAAGAGCCTGGGGTAGCATTCTTTTAACGGTAAAAAGCGCCTACCGCTCTTAAGAGCATGAAAAGAAATATCTTTACCAACATGGGGTAGGAGTGCCTTTTTCCAATACTATGGTCAGAAAGATAGGCAAATAGAGGAAGTTTGGGCCCCTTTAAAATTTAAGAATTTGTCCACTGTTCAGTCGAAACTGAGCAAGGAAAGGGGTTAAATGAAAGGGCGTGCGATCGTTTCTGAGAAGAAAAGGGGAAGGGGGGGAAAGTATAACAGGGAATTTTTCCTTGGGGGTTTTTTGGCGTGGGCCCAAATTGGGCCCACAGAACGGGTCCCCGGGGATTTGAAAATTTTCCGCCCCCTTTGAGGGAGAGGCCGGAACATAGTCAGAGGAGGGGCGAAGGGCCGGGCCCAAAACGAAGGAGTCAGTCGAGGGCCCCCCCGTACCCGAAGCGGGGGAAAGGGAAACCCGCACCGGCAATAGGTTTCAGAGGATGAGGAATGTCTGAAGAGTGATCCAAAGACGAGGCGGGGTCAGAACAGGGTGCAGTAAACAAGAAGGGGCCCGGGGGGAAAAAGGTTCATGGACTTTGGGGGGGGCCATGGTTTAGGGTTTCTTTTTTAAAAAAAAAAAAATAAAAAAAAAAAAAAAAAAAAGTGGGGACCCCGGGGGGGGATAGGCCCAGGGGGAATGAAAGGGCCAGAAATCTCCCTCCGCGCCCAAGGACCTCACCCGCAAGTAGCGCAGATGCAGCAAGGAAAACCCTGCCATACCCCAAACCCCTCTTTCTAGTAAAAATAACAACCAGGGTAGCCCAAACCCCAAAATCTGCCGACTACCCCGGTTTGGGCAAAAGAGGGGGGGCCGGATAACCGCCCCAAACAAAAAAATCCTTCGGCCACCACCCCCCGGGAAACCCCAAAAAGGGGGCTTCCGGATACATCCCTCGCAGAAAGACACCCAAAGCTAATCCGGGAAACCCCGGGGAGGGGTGGACATCCCCAGGGAATCCAGATTTTTCCCCGGCGAACTACGCCACCGTAAAAAAACCTCAAAAAGGGAAAGGGAAAGGACCCCCGGTAATCCTTTCCTCTTCCTAGGAACTAGCACCCCTGTGGGAGGGGAAAAAACCCCAAAAGGCCCAAAAAAAGGAAGGGGAAAAAGGGAGGGGGAGGAAAAAAGGAAAGAGGGGGGATGGGGAGGTGGGTTTTGGGGGGGGGGTTTGGGGGGGAATTTTGGTTTTGGGCTGGGAAGACCAATTTGGGCTAATTCCCCCGGGCCCAAGAGCCCCTTTTACCACGCCAAGGAGCCCCCCTTGGAAAAAGGGCTGTCCGAAAAGGAAAGTTGCGGGGCCTCCCCAGGTGTAGTATTTTGAGGCATCCCGGGGGCCCTACCTCCAGACCAAAGATACGGGAGGTTTTTCTCCAGGTAAAAAGGGCACCGCCTTTCATATGCCTCCACTGTGCAGAACTTTATGAAAATTCGTGATATCCCTTAAATGCATTCCGTGTAATTCTTCAAATTCAGTGCCAACGTTTCCCGTAAATCGTTTGGTTTTAAAAAAAGGGGGTTCTGGGAAAATTTTTCCCCCTTTTAAAAAGGGCAAAACAGGAAGTTGCGCACCGAGAAAGCAGGAGCCGTTTGCGCGTGGTCCACTCAGCCCGAAAGCGAAGGGACAAAAGTTTTTGGTAAATTTAAATTTCCCAGTTTTCAACTATATTGCCCCGACAAATTTTTTCCCCTGCCTCCCGGGTTCTATTGCAACATTCACAAACCCCTGATTAAAAGCTCATACAAAAATGTTCAATACTCATTCCCCTCGTCCCCCCCGGGTTAAAATATTTATTTTGCATACTAGTCTTTTTTGCTTGCCTTAACCATCTCCCAAAAGCAACAAATCACCCGACCCATCATGGTATACTTTTACTGGAAAGTAATCTTGCCTCGCCTGTATAAACAAACCTGCTCATCACTTAAACTATACCCAATTTAGCCTCTAGGTACCTTACCCTCTTCCCCACCTTTACTTCCTTGTCCTATACAATATTCCCTCCTGGAGGAATAATTATTATAATCAAGGGGGAAGCGCTAAACCCGGAGGATTATACAGCGCCTGGGGGGGGGGATGTGGAAGGCATTCAGGCTTAATTCGGAGAACTGGAGCAGATACAATTCCCTAAATCAAGAGCCCCTCACCAACATCAAGGAACCTTCCTTGAGGGGCTGGAGGAATAAGCCTTTCGTTCTCTTCACTCGACAAGGGTAAAGGCAGTTTCTTGACTTCACACTAAAGCGCCAATGCTAATTTTCTAAATTAGTCCTGGGTATGGGCATTCGTATTCAATAGAAAAGCTAAGGCCAGCTAACAAACTATAATGGTAATTTGGCGACAGTTAGATAGCTTAGTGTTAACGAAAGTTTAACAGCATTTTAGTTCTTCACGCTCGCAGAACTGCTTATTTAGAATTCATTTTGCGTACTGCTGGAGGGTACAAGATTTCTTGCCTGAAATTTAAGTTTTGCAAGTGTAATGTTAAAGCACTTTTCTAGAGTGAAGTTCCCACTTTATAACTGGAGCAAATAGGTCTAAAAATCCTGCTGCCCATCAAATTTAAACTCTGAAGACATTATGGAAGTAAAGATTTTAAATTTTCAGGGCCATGTTGAAATTCAGTATTCAGTTCAAGTGTTGGTTTCAAAAGTAGCCTGTCATGTACTTTCTAGGCTCTTAATATTTCCTTTGCATAAAGCCCCAATTGCAGCGGGGAAAGAAATAAAGTTTCCCTAGGATTTTTTTTATTTAGTAAATGTTTACATACAAAGCAATACACAATTTAAAGCTAGGTCCTAGTTTCGCAAATAACTGGTTTTAAGTGGTGACAAGCAATGTCGTGCCATTTTATGCCGTCGTTGTAGAAGTTATTCAGCACACCAAGACAGACTTCGTTGCCTTCACGATTATCAGGCTGTGGTCTTCCTTGTCTGGAAAGGAGGGAAGCATTACAGTAACTTTTAATGTTAAATTTTGAATGACATTTAGGAGGCACAAAACTTAAGCACTGAAATTCGTAGTTTTATACAGACCCTCCCGTGTAAGACCAATTGTTGTAGACTACAGGATTGCCAGTCAACCATCTCCACGAATTTGATCCCAGCTTGTTGCCACTCGTCCAGATGTATTTTATCGAATCTGGAGAAAAGGATTCGAATGAATCTTTGAAGGTACTTTAAAGAAAGCACACTAAGGACAAAGTTAAAACTAGGAAGCTTACGCATGGATAAAACTGTTGTTACGAAGTCATCCTCATCACGATCCTCTATGCTGATGGCCTGGAAGTCTGGATGGACCCTCTGGCAGTAAGAGCGTGCTTGATCCCAAGAGAAGTGTGTTGGTTCTCGACACCAGGAGAAGTGGTAGGCCCGAACTCCACGCGTTGCGTCGATCTGTAACGATGAAATTTAAGAAATATATGAGGGGGTGTAGTTATGTTACTTAAAGACTGAAGTCTTTAAGTTAGACTAGAGGGTTCCTAGGTACTGAACTAACCTAGTTAATCCCGTTAAATGTGTAGATTTTTTTTCCTGTGAAAGTTAACGCAGGAAGGGGGGGGGGGGAGGAGGCGGTGATGTCAATTTCTAGATTTAAGAAAATTTAAGGTAAAAGCAAAGTTTTCAGTAGTTGTGCATAAAAGCAAAGTGATTGTTAAATCGTTAAGGTTAAGAACAGAAGAGGATGGATAGTTATTCTAGCGAAATCCAGCTAGATTCACAAGAGGAAATGTCTTGGTAAAATTTTAAATTTTACTGTAAAAAAAACTTGCCGATGAAAGCTGAAAGTTTCCTTACCATAGAGTTCGCTGGACCGCAGATGTGATTTTGCGGAGAGAAGGTAGTGATGGGTTGTATAGGTTGTGGGATAGTAAAGCGAGGTGGTGAGGAAGCTTGTGGAGCGGAGAATTTCTGAGGTAATGGAAGAAAAATCTGGGCAGTTGAAAGTTGGGGTAGCTGTTGGAACTGGGGCAAGATCTGTTGCCCAGGGATGCGTGGTAGAAATGGCACAGGAGTGGCAAGTTGCAATTGAAGGGGAGATTGCAGAGATTGTTGATAAGTTGGAGAACCTGGGAATGGAGAGTTTTGAAGGTCACTTTGGGATGGAGTCTGTGGGATAAGTACGGGGAGAGGTTCTTCAGTTTGTCCAGTTGAGGGAGAGAGTATGAGGCTTCCATCTTCAGCTACGAAATGTGAAGCAGACACTACATACAGTAGTGATACGAATAGTAAGCGTTCCATCCTGAAAAATTTTTTAAAGATGTTAGGAGCTTGGCGAGGTGTAAAGGGAAGAATTTGAGTGGTTGTCTTCAGTTCAGATTTTTTTTTTTATATTTTATTTAAAACTATTACAAGATTCAATATAAAGATACCATGAAAAGGTAAATGTTATGACAGAATATTCAACACTAGTACTACAACGGTCCACCGAGTGAACATACAAAGTTACCTTTGTTTAGCCTAACAACCTACCTAGAAACTTACATAATCACAAAGATCTTCATAATACACTGATGCTAACACCGACTTCCAACACTTTCACCTCAGCCATTCACATGCAGTTAAACAAATAATTTTTTTTTTCTTTCTTTCACAGCAATGAAAAGTACCCGTGATTTTTTTTTCCATTAAGTCATAAACACAAGGCTGCTTAAAAATAGAATCACCATACATAATCTATAGAGTACAACGAGGTACACCATAAATACGAGAAAAAATCTTTAACTAATACGTATAGATATATACGACAAACACCATAAAATGCATATGTACGTTTCACTAAAAAATACCAAAAGATATAACTGTTTGCGTAACAAATTTAACTGGTGGAAACTCCACAACCCATTATAACCTACATGCACATCATACAAACATGTTACATTGATGTTTAAACAATAGTTTGTAATTGCATACAAAATATACAATTGAGTAGAAATTCCAACTAGGACAAATTCAATGATTTACTCTTAAATTCATTAACAATTATATAAATTGACGATCATATTAATAGTCAGCAATTTCCATTCATTCCATAAGTGTTCAATATTGATACCTATGAACCAAGTTTGAATCAAACAAAAATCATAATGTTGCTACATATTTATAGGATACAATTGGACGACTCAGGGTAATGTACACGTGTTATATCCCTTTAATACTTTGATGACACTAGATTGAACAGTAACAGGGAAGGGATAAAACATGCGCGCGCACACATATATGCATGCATGTTTATATACTCAAATATCTGGACCTCCATAACAAAAACAAAACCAAGAAAACTAGTGACTCAAGAATACAACGAGTCTTCACACAAAGGAAGCATCAAAAACAAATATGTAAAGGCACCCCAGTCATTTTGTACACAAAAGGTACAATAAGTAACCCTAACCCCTGAATTTACAACCACACATCCATAACTAAAAAACATTCATGCCCAAACTCATTCACGCAACTCGCATCCTTCCCTCCCCCCCCCCCAAACCTTCGCGCAAAAAAAAAAAAAAAAATAATTACAAGTGAAAAGCAATGTCTGCCCCACCACAAAACCCACACTCGCCTCCCTCCACGACTTCTGGATCGTAGTATTGCCCCCCCCCCCCGACTGCAATATACCATGTAAAAAACTAAACATGACTTCATGCACCCTAGGCCGTAATTTCGGAGCCATACATTTTACCACGAGTACATGGGGAACAAACCTACTGGAGCTGTGCACGTACCCCCTAGTAACCTACTTAAAACCCTTATGCGAATGTTCCTCCGTTCCTTTACCATCAACAAAGCTCGTAGCACAATCTCACATTCCCAGACTCCATTCCCCTATACCACTTTCACGCTCTTATATACTTGGTCCATATTTCCCGCCATCACACCCACACGCCAAACCTCCCACTTTAGAAAAAACACATTTCACCCTACGCTTTAAGTAAATCCTAAACCTCCTCGACGTACAGGTAACAACCTCGCGTTTTAACCTATCACACCTCGATCCCCACAGAAAGGTAAATACTCTTCAATATCCCATTGATCGCCGTTCCTGTAATTGGGAACAGCCGCAACGTGCCACGCCTTACTATAAAATAAAACTTTAACGATCACACGTTGGGCCAGCATGAGATGTTGGGGCCTCAAAAACACCCAGACGACCAATGACCTTTTTCCAACGTCTTTACCGAATTTTCCTCCTGTGCCACATCCAAATAGTATAAATACCACAAATCTTTAATGACATTGCAGTTGTGTTAACCACGTTACAGCTCACCATTCCACCCCCTTTCCAGGTACCCAACTCCATGATCGACTTTTCACTATTTACCTTCATACCCGTGGCACGTTCAAACACGCACAACATCTTCCAACCCTTTCATAGACATTCGGTCACACACCAAAACAGTCTTATCCACAACCTATTAATGCCGGCCAACAATCCCCTTCCCCTACCCCACCCCGGGAACTAACTACTCTCAACCATCCTGTAAAAGGGACCCTGAAAATGCTAAAGATCTGTGACAGGGCACCCTCGTCTTAAACCTCTACCCCATCTCAAAGTCCGTCCCCATACACCCATTTGTACCCTCATCCTTGCCCCCTTATACAGCGTGTTTACCCACCCAACTATTTCTTCTCCATAACCCTGTCTCCGAAGAATACTCCGCACTGCACCCCTTTCCACTATCATAGGCGGCTCGCCAGTCCAAGGCCAGTAAAGCCGCCCCCTTCCCTCCCCCCTTTGACTCTACAAAACTTCTTACAAGCCCGTGACCCTCTAACATCGACCTGCCCGGCAACCCATACTGCGATGGCGAAACTACCCTCCCCACCACGCATTTTACCCTATTACCCAAAATTTTTGCGAAAACCTTAGTCTGCAGAGCAACAATACCGCCCTATACTTCAGGGTTTCGCTGCCCTTTCCCTTTCGGGACCAACACCACAACAGCCATATTCTGCATATCCCCTAACGTACCATTCTTACAATTTAATAATCTTGCCAATCAACTCTAATGCTGCAAATAAAATTCCACCGTTAAACCATCAATACCCGGGGACTTGCCCTTCCTCATTCCGTGTAAAGCAATTACATTTCCTCCTCAGTAATAACCCCACCCAAAGCCTTCTATCACTGACCCAAAATGCACTTAGCATACGTGCACACCTTAATTCCACTTCATCCACGCCACTACTAGTAGTGTTTTTTTATACCATGTATCCGCATATGCACTCATAGCTTTTGTGTTTCGTATCACTTTACCTGCTCTATGGATTCCCATCGTATCATTTACCTCCAAGCTCGGGATTGCCGTCAGCGCCTGCTTTTGTTGTCTCAACACACGCGGATGGCCTGTCTCCCCACAAAACTTAATCCTGCTTGCACCTGCACCACTTGAAACCGCTCATTATGCAACGTTTGCAAGCTCTTATGTCTACAATCTCGTCCATGGGGTAAACACCACCAACCGATCCCTGCCCATAACTTCGTAATCGATCCTCTAAATAATTCGCTAGCCCATATTTTAATGTGTTTATACGCCTACCCTCCCTCACATAAAAGGACTATTCTTTCCTTTGCCACCGAGTCCTACCAAGTTACAATCTTCCACCTCCTGAACTTCCCTTGAAAGCTCATTCCACAAAATAAAAAAAATCCAACCCTTAATTATTTAATACTAAAATTTAATTTCCAATAATTCTTATAAATTTCGGCCATTCCCTCCCACCCTTACCTCCACTACAACTGCCCTATGATCTGACAAGACAGTCTCCACCGTATTAAAAGACTTTACAACTACTTGCGAAATACATTAACCTTGCAGCATATCTGCTTCTGATAAAAGTATGTTCTGTTTCCCCACACCCCTCCCCCAAACATCTCGTAACTTAAGATCCCTCAACAAATCTGAGGTGCAGACATGCCCAGCCCCTTTGGGTTCGACGTCAGCCGCCTTTATGACAGTTCGTCACCCCCCACTATCGCTACTTCCGGAAGACCACGGGGAAAAATAAAAATTAAACAAGATCCTCGCACGCAAAATCCGTTCGAACCTTCGTGTCATTCTCTGCAGGGGCATAGACACTTAACAAGGATAAACACTCCCATCCAAGTCCCATCCACTCGCAACACCCTCCCCCCCACCCCCCTCAAATCTCTGCAACACAAACAGGCTCGTCTCTTAATAAGAGACCCACACCACCTTTCAAACGGATAGTTGGCAGGGTCAGTATTGTATAACCTGTAACACTGAAATTGTGTTCTTGAAGGAAGAGAACAAATTCTACGTTTGCTAAGAAAACTACTCAAGCAATCTTTAGTCTAGTACATAAACCGTTAACATTAGCAGTCATACACCTAAGGCCTGTTATATTTTCCACCATTTCCTCTTCTCCCGTGGTTCACCACTTGATTTGTTACGTCTGTCTTCTTTACAGTACCTTCCCAGTCCTCCCTTCTTGCGATGGCGTCCCTCATGACCCCCCCCCCTCCCCACACCCATCCTCCCAGTTTTTCCAGTCTTCTGTGCCGGCGTCAGTACGTCATCCGAATCTGACGTAGCTGCCCGTTTCCTCGTAACGTTCTTATCCTCCATGTCAAGATCCGAGGAAGCCTCACGGTGTACCTCAACATCCACCTCACAATGAGGTATGAAGTCTCCCGATGTCCCAGTCTCTTCGTCCTTCTGCGGAGTCTCATGTTGACAATCCGTACTCAGAAAGTCTACAGTTACGTCTTCCGGAGACGGAGCTTCCACCACTTGCGGTGACAAGGTCTTTAAAACTTTGTCTAAATCCTCACCAATACTAAACACGTCATGCCGGGGTACCAATCCAGTAGATGGTATAGGCAACGACTCGCTCATTTCGAAAAGCCTGTTCCATCATCTCACTCCACAAACTACCACGCCCTTCCTCTGACGAACGATGCTCACCATCACGTGTGACTGGGGCTACTTCTTGCACAGGTATGTCACGCGTCTGTTTTTGCATGCCGCTGCTATGTGGTCATACTCTCCACAAATGCGACACGTACGCCGCTGTCCAGGATATAAAACCATTACCTGTCCTAAAATCTTGAAGATACACTTATGACGGTATGGGTTGACGCAACGTCATAAGGCTGAATGTACCTTCCGGCATACCTGTAGGCACCCATTATCCACTTTCCCCTGTTGGGCAGAATGCACAGTCCCATATTTCTCAAATAAGTTTCCCATGTCAGCTTAGTCTGCCTCGAAGGGGACATTCAACTTTATCCAGGTATAATAAAGAGACACGTCCACCAGTCTCACACGCACAGCAGGAGTAACGTCAAAACACTCCTCTTGCAAGCGCTTAACCACCGATTCATAAACTGTCGCAGCAAGCAGTTTCACAAATACTCTATGCGCTCCGTTCAGCGTTACCCCATACAATTCATCTTGTATGCCGTATGTCTCCCTGATTATCTTGGGTAAGGGTATTTGAGCTTAACTAGGTGTAATCGCACCTCGAAGCAGTTCAATACCAATAGTATTAACGCGTCTGCGATAACAAACCGCCATCTTAACACCGGTAATTTCCCAGCATTGTCAACAGACATCATCTCCCCGTACCACTGCTGTCAGGTTACGGAGGAGCGTCAGGCAAGGGGGTCTACACAGCCCAAGAGCGATGCAGACAATGTATTTACGGGAGCAAGTTCCGAAGCGTTTGCTGTACTAAAGTTGTGCGAAGTAGTTAAAGTATGAAGGGAAAGTTTGTCTAGGATGCGTAAAATGGCTAGCAGTATGGTTTAAATAAATTGAGTAAAGCTTATACTGGCTCAACTTAGTTGAGTTATTGTTGGTTTAGAATACATCAAGTTGGTGTGCAAAATGCCCAGGGAAGGTACCAGTAGGTAGTAGGCGAAATATTAATTACAAACTGGGTAGAGGGGCCAGGGCAAGTGATCTTTAAAGTTTAGAAAACTTTATAAAGAGCTAAACCTACAAGAGATACAGAGCAGAGTCAGAAGTTCCATTTTCTGCCCATTTACTCACTTCCCCCCGAGGGAGAGAAGTTAAAGTGATCGGGGACGGGGTTGACATCCAAGAAGAGCAGGAACGGCCAGAGTGGTCGAGAGAAACCAAGTTAATCAATTTTAGGAGAAGTTAAAGAAATTCATAAGTAGGGAATATAGTAAAAATAAAGATAATACGCTTATTGCGAGCTCCGCAGAAGCCAGTAGTTCAGGGTTCCATAAATACGACTGAATTAAGAATTAATTAGCAAGCTATATTTTAAATGCAAAATGTATATAACAGAAGGCTAATGAGGCAAATTATCACAATACTTAGAAGAGGCACTAAGATTAGTGAATGAATTTCAGTACAATCGTCAAGAGACCTAAATAATACAACCACATTACCTGTAATAAGTATCCACACGACCAGCGCGAGAAACACACTGAGCACAAGGGCTCCAGGGTGATCCTTATATACGAGGGCCCAGGTATATACGACCGCTGACTGGTCAGTGCACACGCTTGTTAGCTGCTCGGTCATCAAGGCTCCATGTAACCTGTATACCACTAACCAACAATACGTTAATCTATTAAACGTATGAAGGATTAAAAATATATAAATAACAAAGAGGAAAATAAATGCATATTGTAGGCTTGGTGCGTCTTTGTTAATAATAATAACAATGCATATTGTAATGTAGTCTTGTGTAATCTTACTTAACATAGGTGCATGGGATATAATGCATAGGGGATGAGGGACAGTTTGTGCCAGCACAAAGTTAAACGTCTGTGTGCTTTTGACAATGAAATTTATAATTCTGTGTAAGAACTGATACTGTGTTCTTTTATCTATTTAATGTATTGTATTGTTTTAAATAAAATATAAAAAAAATCTATTAAATGTGTATTAAAGTGAACTCCGAGTTTATATAGAAAGATAAACACACACTTCACGGTATCTACATTCTTGAAATAGTCTAAGAGACACTATTGTGTTAGGTTGGAATATCGACTGGATTTAATATCTTCAACAACTGAAGGCTCAGATATCATTGGTGATGCTATGTTCAACCACTTCAGAGTAGATATGGTTTTAACTTGTGGGGGATGAGGCCGTAGAAGTGTAGGATGTATGTGTTAGTATGAGTACATTACAAAGATCTTTGTGATTACGTAGCACTGTTTAGATATAGTCTGTAGGTTGTGTTAGGTCTGTCTTATCTCAATATTGTATTGTGAATTTACTCAGTTCATTCTCTGCTCGTCTATTGGTGTGAGCAGACGTACGCCTGCTGCCCTCTCGGCGATTGGAAGACTTCCTGTTTTTTTCCAATATGGCGCTGAGTGTAAGGAGGAGGGTAAATACTGTGAGCATCCAGCTGGTTCGCGGGGCAATTTCACCGCAAGCTGCTCCTGTGCTGTTGCCATTAATCATCCGGGATACGTATGGTATTCAGGATGAAGAATTGTATGGTGTAGCACTTAATGGTGCATACAGGGTGTTTGTTAAGTTGTTGAACACCGGCGTCTCCGAGCGACTGGTAGAGAAATACCAGGATGTGCGAGTGGACGTCAATTCTATGGTGAGTGTCCGCCTTCATGACGTCTCCAGGCATTATACATGGGTTAGAGTGCGAAATGTACCGTTTGAGGCTGATGAAACGGACATACGCAATGTTTTTTTAAGGACTACGGGACCGTTCACCTGGCACAGCCCGGCAAGTGGGTGGAAGGTGCATACGTGGGATACCCAGAGGGCACGTTTTCACTGAAAATGACGATACGGCACCCCATACCGTCATATGTAATATTGGAGGCCTTAAGGACTCAGCTCATGGTGTCCTATGCTGGGCAACGCAGGACATGCAGGCGTTGTGGCGGTTATGATCACATTGCTGCATATTGTGAACAACAGACTCGACTCCATGGTGTTGAATGTACTGCCGCAGGGGAACCTGGGCAAGTTGGACGTGCTCTGGAGCTACAGGAAGGACGTGGGCCTGGTCGTCTGTAGAGTGAGGAGGTGGAGGAGGCAGAGGCAGTGGCGGGTGCGGACCTGACGGCCCCTGTGGCTGGGGGCCCTGTGGGACCCATTTTGCCTGATGGTGGGGGAAGGCATGGTCCGGCGGAGGAAGCCATTGACGAGGTCCTGGAGAATGTGCTCACCTCGCTGTTTCCCCAGTCCGATGGGGAGGGCGAGTTGGTGACGAGGGCTGATGTGAGGAATGCTGCAGACCTGTGTGGAGAGCAAACTGAGCCCATCGACTTGGTGGTGTCTCACGGGGCAATGTGCCCAGAGGGTGGGAAGGTCAGACATGTGGTGGAGGTGGAGGTTCACCGTGAGGTGTCACAGGAGGTGAGGATGGGAACAGGTGGAGTCGCGCGCAAGCGTGAGGCTGTTACATCGGATTCAGATGATGTCCTGACTCCAGCACAGAGAACTGGCAAGGTGGTGGTGGTAGAGGAGAATGGTGGTGGTCCCTCGGGGACTTTGGACCCGGAGCTGGACCGGGGAGGGGTTAGGGCTGCCAGTAGGGACATGCATAAAGGAGGTCCGAAAGGAAATGGTGGCGTTGTCAGGGTGTCAAAGCACAGGGGGAAGAAACCACCGCTGGCCTAAGGTGTATGACAGTTAACATTGATGGTTTGTGTCAGGATGTGAAACGTGCATGGTTTGCAAGTTTCTTGTACCGGCATAGAGTGGATGTTGTATTTGTGCAAGAGCATAATATCAAGGTGGGGCGTGTATTAGAGGTGAATGGTTATAGGGCTTTTGTGATGCAGACGGGAGGGGTGGGAGTCCTACTCCGGGAGGTGAGCCCATTTGTGGTTAGTAGAAGTGAAGGGGGGGGCGAGGGGCGTATTATCAGAGTGGATGGATGGTGGATGGGCGAGCGAGTGGCGTTAGTGTGTGTGTACGCACCCGCAGAGAGTGATGCACGTCTGAAAGCGGATTTTGTGAGGGATGAGCTCGTTTATTTTTCCGTTCTTTACCACCTGTTGCTATTGTGGGAGGGGATTGGAATTGTGTTAATCGCAGGGCAGACGTCGAGCCGCGTGGGGCAGGGCATTTTTCCACTATCCTCGGTGATCTTCTGAGAGATGTGTGTCTACGTGACGTATTTGGGGGTGGGGCTTGGGAGGTGGAGCACACTTTTGTTAGACAAGGATATGCAGCGAGGCTAGATCTGGTGTACATCACAAAGCGGGTAAGAGTGGAGTCCTTGTGTACGGTGGAGGTGGAATATTCAGATCACAGGGATGTTGTGGTAGACCTGGGGTGGGATGGGCTGACCAGGAGGTGGAAGAGTTATTGGAAACTAAACACGAGGATCCTGAGTGATGAGGAGGGGCAGGGAGGATTTGAGACATTGTGGGCAGAGCTCAGTGAGGAACGGCGGGGGATAGAGGATTTACTGGGGTGGTGGGACGGGGTGGCTAAGGCACGAATACGTAAGTTTTATGTGAGGGAGGGGAAACGCATGATGCAACAATTGTATGGGCTCCTTCAGTACCTAGAGGGTAGGTTGAGGGATTGCTGTGGGAGAGGTGGACACAGGGGAGTATATCCTGTAGAGTAGATAGAAACGTTGAAGGGAAGGATTCGTGAGCTGCAAAATGAACGGTTTAATGCAGTGCGTGTGCAGGGTGGGTTGAAGAGGTGTTATGGGGCGATCGGCCGTCGGCGTGTGTTTTACGAGGTCAGCAGCGACGTCGGACGGCCACAGAGGTTGGTAGGTTAATCGTCCACTCTGAGGTGGGGGATTCTCGTGAGGGGCAAGTGTTGAGGACGACTGAGGGAATGAGTGGTTATGAAGATGCATGGTATCAGCAGTATTTGGGATGTAGTGCAGTGGGAGGTGCAGCATTGCATAGTGTCTGTGAGCTAGTGCCATGTTCATTGGGGGGTAGTGATCGAGTAGCGCTGGGTGGGAAGATAGATGAGGGCGAGGTTTGGCGGGCATTAGTGAGTATGCATATGGGAAATGCTCCAGGGATTGATGGATTACCCTGTGAATTTTACCTGCAGAATTGGAAGTTAATGTGTGGATTCCTGGTGGAGTTGATGAATATCATGAAGGAGAAGGGGGTGTTGGGGGAGTTGCAAGCCACAGCAGGGGTTTGTTCTGGTCCCAAAGGGAGAGGTCCAAAATACCCTCAAGGATTATGGGGCGATATCTTTACTTTGTGCGGATTACAAATTGTTTGCGAAAATACTGGGAAATCGCCTGAAATGTGCCATGGGGCGTGTCGTATCTGGAGGGCAATATGGGTTGCCTGGCAGATCTATGGTCGAGGGTCACGGACGTCTTAAGGGGTTTGTAGAGGGTTTGGGGGGAAAAGGTGGGGGCTTACTTGCTTTGGATTGGCAGGGAGCTTATGACCGTGTGGAACAGTAGGCGTTGCGGCAGATCCTTCTAAAGCAGGGATTCGGGGAAGAGGTTGTGGAATGGGTGGAGACATTGTATTGAGGGGTGCGGGTGCGTGTGCAAATTAATGGTCGCATAGGGGAAGCAGTGTGTATGGGGCGGGGTCTCAGGCAAGGATGTCCACTATCTCAAATCCTGTTTGCTTGTGTTCAAGACCCTTTTTACAGACTCATTGAGGCACGTATCTGTGGGGGCGTGGGGACAGGGGAGGTGGGGTGTGGGCCGGGGATCATAGGATACGTCGACGACACGACGGTACTTGTGCGGGAGGGAAATAGTTTGAGAGAGGTGGGAGAGGTCATTCGTACATTTGGGGAGGCTACGGGGATGAGGGCTAATGTGGAGAAATCTTGCTTCTTAAAGTTGGGAAATTGGAACTGGCAGGGGGATTGGGATGCTGATGTGGAGTGGAGGGTGGTGGATAGCTTAATGATATTGTGGAATAGTGTTTTATGGAGAATCAAGTGCGGTCGAGAGAGGTGAACTCAGAGGTATTGTGGGAAAGGGTGCAGCATAGATTGGGGAGTTTGCGCCCATATCATTTGACATTGTTGCAAAGGGCCATCGTGGTAAACACGTTACTATACAGTAAGGTTTGGCATGTGGCGGCAGTTTTCCCCCTTAACGGGGCAAGGAATTACGAGAATTTTTAAAACAGGTGTTTAGGTTTATAGGGGGGTTTTGGGTGTGATTGGCTGAGGAGGGAGGTGGTTATGCTGCCGGTACGTAAGGGGGGGTTAGGGTTAATGGATCTACGGCGTTGGGTAAAATGTGTTTTCTTACGAAGGGAATATGTACGGGTCGGGTGTGGGGGGTTAAAGCTTCTGTATGAGGGAGTGGGAGAGGGTGGTATGTGGGTGCAGAGTTGAGGGAATGTGAGGAGGTGCTGCGTACCCCAAAGGTCCTACGGGAAACCCGGAAAGATTTGCATAGGGGTTTTGGCGAGAGTAATTGGAGCCCGGGGGGTGGTGCCGGTGGAGGGAAATTAACCCCCATGTATGGCTGGGGAGATATTTGGGGTCGTTTTCGTAAGTTGAAGCTCAGACCTCGGGTGCGGGAGGTTATGTTCCGTTTCCTGCATGGCATTTTGCCATCAGGAGCGGTCCTGCGGCGAGGCGAATAGTAGAGGAGAGTGGGTGTGGGTGTGTGGGGGGCGAGGATACGCTTTTCATGCGGTGTATTTTTGCGAATGTTTGGGGAAAGTTAGGGATTGGATGAGTAGGATTGTGAGGCTAGTGGGAGGGGGGGGGCACCAAACCCGGGGTGAGAGCGCTCGTTTTGGATGTGGGAGGGGTGCCAGAGAGTACACAACGTGCTTGGCATATTTAAAGGAGATTTCGTGTTATGTGTCGTGGGGTATGCGTGGGAATGGGGATTGGGTGGCTAGGAAACGGGTACTGGCAACTACTTTTTATAGGACGGTTTGCAGGAACAGGGAAATATATGGATCGCAGTGGGAGGGAGCCTTCCCCGTAGGTTATCGTAGTTTAACTATTGGGATCTTACTCGCTTTGTAGTGTGGGGGGGGGAGGTTGTCATGGCTGGGGCAAGGATTGAGAATGTCATCAGGGGTTTCAATGAGCTCGCCGTCGGGAGTGTGTGTGTGTGTGTGTGTGTGTGTGTGTGTGTGTGTGTGTGTGTGTGTGTGTGTGTGCATGTGTATGTGTATGTGTGCGTGCGTGTGGTGCGGTGTGGTGTGGGTGTATGGCTTACATGGAAACGAGGGAAGGTTCAGTGTGGTTAGTAGGTGTTAGGAGGTACGTGTGATGCTAGCTGGTCAGTAGGTGTTAGGAGGTACGTGTGATGCTAGCTGGATTAAGTGTGTGATCCAGTTTGATAGTGGAGAATTTAGGTTCATATCTTTGCATGCGTGTCCCATGGGATGACTGTATTACCCTCTGTGTATATAACGCCTTGCTATGCTTGCTCACTTACCATCACACCTATGTCAGAGGGTTGAGGTATATATTATTGTTTAGAGGTATTGTATGCATGTATGCAGTAAGAATGATTGGGTGTGGTTTGTTGTGATTGAGATACTGTTGCGATGTGACAGGCTTATATGCTCATGTACAGCTGGGAGACTGAGTGACAGGGAACTGTATGCTGCCGATAGACAGTGGTGGTTGCCTAAATGAGGGGGGGTTGTAATAGAATGTTTTGTTATAGGAGACAGTATTGAAGATAAGATAAGATTTCGTTCGGATTTTTAACCCCGGAGGGTTAGCCACCCAGGATAACCCAAGAAAGTCAGTGCGTCATCGAGGACTGTCTAACTTATTTCCATTGGGGTCCTTAATCTTGTCCCCCAGGATGCCACCCACACCAGTCGACTAACACCCGGGTACCTATTTGCTGCTAGGTGAACAGGACAACAGGTGTAAAGAAACGTGTCGAAATGTTTCCACCCGCCGGGAATCGAACCCGGGCCCTCCCTGTGTGAAGCGGGAGCTTTAGCCACCAGGCCACCGGGCCACCAACGTTGCCCTATTAAGGGCTCATCTCTGATTGGAGGTTAATGAGATAGGATTATGTACACACATACGGATTACGGGGTTATTTTTCAAAATGTTCATACTGTGTACCTTGTGTGTGGTGAGATGAGGCATATATCAACTTATTGTTTAATGTCACTTTGTTTTATGTAAAAATTTATATATGTTTGGTTTTGTTTCATTTAAAGTGTATATTAATTTAGGTCACAACCCTGGTACTGTTTTTGTTAAGTGCTATGTTCTTGATGCAAGTTTTTCATGTATGGTTTACAGTTACACATACAGAGTTTATACATGCAAGTTCTGTAGCATTTTTTGTCACGTATGTTCAGGTGTGGTTAGTAAATAGTTTAGTTACAAGGATGGTATATTTCTTATTATAGCTTCATGTTTAGTGATTTCAGTCAATCATGTATGATTACATGTATATTGTATACCTGTGCTCTAAATAAAATATACAAAATTAGGGGATGAATAGCTACGGAATGTTTAGGTACATAAAATGCTAATATTACAATGTACAGTAAGAGGCCAAAGCATTAGTTTATATATAAAAACTTTTGTATATACAGTTTTCATACAAGATATGAATACAAATGTCAGGTTTGGCTAGTGGCAATTTTATTATGTATGTTCAGGGGCAGGTTGTCATCCGTTAGTTATAAGGATGTTTTCTTATAAATGGTTTCAGGTATTGTGATTACATCAATGTGTGATATGCATGTAAACTGTATACTTTAAATAAAAAAAAACAGTTCTTAAACCCTCCAAACTCAGAGCAGTTAAAGGAATATTTCAATTCTGTCTTAAACTTACATACACTTTCCTTAAAGTTCTCTTATGTGAGAATAACTCATTCAGCGGGAATACATTTTTTTTTTTTTGTATTGGGTGCTCGTGGTTTAATTGGCAGCGGCCTCAGCTTACACACTGAGGGACCGTGGTGCGATTCCCGGGCGAGTGAAAACATTGGACAAGTGTTTCCTTACACCTACTGTTCCGGTTAACTTAGCAGTGAGTGGAGATCTGGATGTTACTCGACTGGTGTGGGTTGCATTGCGGGGGAGAAGCTTAACAGACCCTTGTGGAAATAAACCAGTCTGATAAAATGAATTACTAACACTAACATAATACTGTCTACTACTTCTTCTCCTTCTTTTATTGCCCTTCCAGAACGTAGGAAGAGAGTTATGCAGCTTCAAGGTTATCTAATCTATTAAACTTAAATATATGTACCTCTAAGGTATCCAATACATCGAATCAATACTCCAGGTTATTCAGTGTATTAGCCAACAACATATCCAGAGTGACATTTCCGAAGTGTTTGATGCTGGTGAAGGATTCTTGAAGGAGTTGAAACTATTCTCCTCTTCCTAGAATCAAATCTAATTTCTCCCCACTCTCCATGCAATTTACAACACCCGAGAATTTATCGTTCCCCTTCAAATATAATAGTCAATAGATTCACCTCAGTGAGGATTCCTTTCATCCAACACCTAAAATATTTCACGTTGATCTGAAGTATATTTTAAGCCACTGCACTGTACCCAGGGTATAACTTACAATACTCACATTTGTCTGATGTAAAATCGCCAGTTGGGGTCTAAAAAAAACACTGTAACCTCTGAAATCCAGCTTTTCGTGGTTCTCCCGCTCTCCGGATGCGCTGCGGAGAACATTGCGCAACAGATAAGCCGCTCAGGCCACACAAATAACAGAAGAAATTTCTTACGAATTTGTATCGCTGTTTTTCTCTGATGCTGGAGCAACAGTCATTTTTTACTGTTTCGGTAGGTAGATAGGAAGGAAGGAATGAAGGAGAATAAGGTAAATTTGCCAATACGACTCAGCGGCCCAGGTATCGAACTCTGGAGCGTTTAATTGTGAGCTGAAAGATTAACCACTCGTCAGTCATTACAAGAGTCATCGAGGCTATTATTGTTGATAGCATTATTATTACACTTAGGGGAAGCGCTAACCCCGAATAAGCCTTAAAGCGCCTGCGGAATGGGAGACAATCAGGTTCGATTCAAGGAAGCGAAGGACAAGTTCACTTTCCTGGAACAAGATCCCTTCACCAGGATCAAGGAGCCTCCCACCTGTGTCATGAAGGCTGCTTGTTACCTGTACACCACCTGTCAAGAATATTTCAATTCTTAACATATGAATTACAATAAATTCCTTGTATATTCAATGAAATATATACACGGTGTATATACACATGTATATACGTCTCAGTATAAATACACTGAAAGATGAATATATACGTACGTCACAAGTCAGGGTCTGGCATGAGGTTCTTCATCTGAAGAGTAATTATAGCTTCAGGTTTCCATTGGCCTTGTGATGTGTTAAAATTTAGCTGTGAAGCAATTATAACCCTTTAGAGATGATTGATGATGATGATGATGATGATGATGATGATGATGATGATGATGATGATGATGATGATGATGATGATGATGATGATGATGATGATGATGATGATATTCGGATTTTTAACTCCTGGATTAGTGACCCATGATATCCCAATGAATCCATGTAACAAAACTGTATAAGTTGCATCATGTATTTGTAGAAATAAAGATTATTATTATTATTATTATTATTATTATTATTATTATTGACATTATTTCAACTGGTGTTCTATAATCCTCTCCCCAGGATGCGACCCACATAAATCCGTTTGATTTTCTCCCTGTTTCATTGTTTTTATTTTTGTTTGCAAAAAAATGACGATGTCAACTTTGAGGATACGAACATAAACAGTTAAAAAAAAATCAAACTTTATTATTTAAACGACAAAAATAAAATAGTTTTACCCACAAAAAGAATTTTGTCATAGACAACTGACAGTCTCTGAGATAATTCCCCACTGATCGCGCCTCACATTATTATTATTATAATCAAGGGGGAAGCGCTAAACCCGGAGGATTATACAGCGCCTGGGGGGGGGGATGTGGAAGGCATTCAGGCTTAATTCGGGGAACTGGAGCACAGATCCAATTCCCTAAATCAAGAGCCCCTCACCAACATCAAGGAACCTTCCTTGAGGGGCCGCGCCTCACAAAAAAAAAAAAAAAAAAAAAAATAATAAAAAGATTTTTGAAAATATTACAGAATTTTTTTTTTATCATAAATTCAAATTCAAATTCAAATTCAAAGTTTATTCTCTATAAGGATTACAATGCTGAGTTTACAGAAATTTGGTTATTGTGTGGTTTACATGTAGTAAAATTGTGATTACAGAGTGTACCACTAGAACGCTTAGCATGGCTAGGCATTTCTAGTGGTACACTAGACATAAATAAGGTTGGTCAGGAAACAGGACAAGCGTTCCCTAACGCGGGTCTTAGTCTTAGGATGACCCTCCAGTGGAGGTTTTGGTCATCTGACCGAGACCTTCCGTTGGCTTACCGGTCCTTTAAAAATTAAGGTTATACTTATAAGAGATAAAGAATTATGGAGACCAGTGAAAATAAATCACTTTGACTTTTGCTGGGTTATCCTTGGTTAAATCTACATAATTTACTGCTAGTGTTTGTCTGCAACAGTTTCTAACATATTGAATAAATGGTGGCCCGGTGGCCTGGTGGCTAAAGCTCCCGCTTCACACACGGAGGACCCGGGTTCGATTCCCGGCGGGTGGAAACATTTCGACACGTTTCCTTACACCTATTGTCCTGTTCACCTAGCAGCAAATAGGTACCTGGGTGTTAGTCGACTGGTGTGGGTCGCATCCTGGGGGACAAGATTAAGGACCCCAATGGAAATAAGTTAGACAGTCCTCGATGACGCACTGACTTTCTTGGGTTATCCTGGGTGGCTAACCCTCCGAGGTTAAAAATCCGAACGAAATCTTATCTTATCTTATCTTAAATTAGTGCACAATACCTGAATGAAGCTGATTTCATCTGGGAATTAGTCATTTTGTCTGACTTTTTAAAATTTATCCTGGGTAATTTACACATGTTACTATGTAAGTTTATTCAGGTATAAACAAATACAGTTACATAGATTATCATACATAGCAACATATGTGTAGAGAAACCAGGATAACCCCAAAAAATCAGGCAAAGTGACTTATTTCCATTTTGGTTCTTGTGATAATTATTAGGAATGATTTGTGTAACTGTATTTATGTGTATCTAAACAATGCCCATGCATGCTAGTGGCTTTCTTTGTGTCTAACAATATTGTAGTACATGTAAACAAAACATTGTATGCTACACGAAGATATGGTTTGAATTTAATGTGTATTTCTCCTCTTCTTGTAGTTGATCTGCTAATGAAAGAAAACGGTTTGTAGACCAATATCATTCTCTCTCTTTAACAGGGGTAACTTACCTGTCAGTGATACACAGAGCTAACTGGCGAAGTGGAATTTGTTATGATTCTTTAGAGATTAAAATCTATTGCTTACTTATTAGTTAGTAAGTAAATTTATTCAGGATGTGGTCAGCTAATTAGTAAGCTCGGTCAGTCAAGTTAAGTAATGCTGGGCCGTACTAATAACTGGATGGGTGGCCACCTCACATAGGAAATGGGAGAATTCGATCATACGAGAAAGAAAAAATTGTTTGCTTCAAATTCAAATATTTATTTCATTGCATAGTGAGCAATGTGTAGTTTGCACTTAGTAAATTATTGTTAAGCACAAAGAAAGGCACTAGCATGCACGAGCATTTCGGATTATTAACCCGGATTACCCAATGAAGACAGAATGTCATGTAAGAGACATTGTCATTGGAGTTCTTCGATCCTCTCCCCAAGGATGCTACCCACACCTGTCGCCTGACACCCAGATACCTACTTAATATTAAGTGAAGAGGGGCAGCAGGAGTAATGAAACATGTCTCTCACCAATGTCTAAGGCTTGTGTATCCCAACTCGCGTTTACAGTGTCCTAAAGTTTAAGAAGCTCCTTAATAGCTATATCCTTACAAGTGGAAGGCTTGATGCAGAGGGGAAGGTTCGGAGTAACTTCAGTAGTTGCTCCAGTGTTTGTTTTTCCATTTCTTTAGGCTAAGATAAGATAAACTACGTGTTTATTTTGGGCCACTGCAAATTATTTTACATAATATTTGAAATAATCAGGAAAAGTCACATTAAACATTATAAGTTAAAATACCCTAGATGGAACGATTTACAATTATCTTACAAATCTGAAATGAAGCAATAGACGATGTTTAGTTCTGTTTTATACCATTATCAAGAAATTATCTCGTGCAGGCAGACAAGCTCACAAAGACACTATAGAGCAAACATGAATACTGGATGTAGTAGTTTCTCTTGAAGCTCTGCCACAGGACATTCAATAATTCTTCAGAATTATCCACCATAAGTCTGAGTGTTGCGGTACTCGCAGATGATAGGTTTAAGATGGTGACACCCAACATCGTGCCAAGTGATGCCATCATTGTCATAAAAGCGGTTAAGCACTGAGAGGCACTGCTCGTTGTTGTCTTCTTCGTTGTCAGGTTGAGGACGGCCGGGAACGCTACGGAAGACACAAGTGGGAACAATATTGTTAACGTATGTACTGGAGGATTGCTGACAATGTAAGAGAAAAGCTCACACACAATCAGAATTTGATAATGGCTGACGAAGCTCTGATAGAATGGATTGCTGTCCAAATGTTTTTTTTTCCGGTATTGTGTTTTGTCTTCAGGTTTATGTACTTCTGTACCCTTACCAAATGATGGATTTGATACTTTTTATGGGGAAATTGGTACTTTATTGCATATAAATGACTTTGCTGAGATGTTTGTTAAACGGGGTTGATATTTATGTGTGTTGATATATGATGAAGTTAAAACAAGTATATTTTTATGCATGCTATTCCTTGTCTGTCTAAATTTCCTCGCTGTGTTTACCGACATATCAAAGCAAACATACCAAAGGTTTTAAAGTTTCATGCAAGTATCTTAGGCATGACACCCACTTTTTTGGTCATGTGACTGAGACCTTTCGCTGGCGTACTGGCATTCCCGCCAGTACGCCAGCGAAAGGTATCACAACTGTATCACAACCCAAGATGAGGAATTCTTAACGAAAACCAAAGAAATAAACGATCATAACTTTAAAGAAACGCCAGAATTCTTCTGAGGTTAATCAAAATGTGACCTTACTGCTCTAGCGACCAGGCCGTGAAGGTTCAAGAGGTTCCCAACAAACTTGTAACTGGGTCTCAATTAGGGGCCCCTGCTAACCTTACCAGTGTACAGTGAGCAACTGGTTCGAGAATTTCTTATTGAAGTCTTTTGGGGTCAGGCCACTAAAGCTGTGAGCTCAAATTCTGCGTGACGCTAGTACGAATCTTTGCACACTTTGAAAAAAATCGTCAATATTTTTTTTTTCAATTTCCACTGTTACTTACAATCCAGTAAGAGCCCAGTTGGTATATTTGAGAGGGAAGCCGGTGGCCCACTTCCAGTCAAACAACCCACCACCAAGACGATTTCCACTCGTCCAGATGTAAGGCAGCTGGTCTGTGATGAGAAATGTTATATTCATTATTATTATTATTATTATTATTATTATTATTATTATTATTATTATTACTATTATATGTAATGTGCAAAACCCATGAGTGTTATACAGCACTTAAGAAAGAGGAAGTAATCAGTTTTAATGGAGTGCCATAAGCCGGTAGGCGACTTGGACCTGCCTCGCATGGGCCAATAGGCTTGCTGCAGTGTTCCTTCTTTCTTACGTTCTTTCACTGGCATTATGGTACATTAAAATGAATTCCGGAAATGTGCTTCCTGGATCACTACTTACGCATCAGACAAGTCACTTATAGAATCACAGATGAACCTACCACAATGCTGAACCTAAGAAATCAAACCTAATGTGAATCTCACACAAGCCAGAGACACATTGCAACAGGCAATGTGTACCAGTTTGAGTATTTATATTTTATGTACATGAAGGCTAATAGATTGAACACCCTTCATAGAATGTGATATATTATATTACTGGAGTAAGACACGTGCAACAGTAAGGTATCTATATTTTTGTTGAAACGTGTCGCCTGCTCAGCAGGCTTTTTAAGCCGAATACAAAAGTGACTAAATATTTGGGAGACAGCAATCTCTCGATCATGATGAATTAATTTTAATCAAGGCTAAAGGATTAAACCCTTAAAATTACATGTGTAGTAGTAAGCCCCACCCACACTAATGTAATTACTATTTTATCTCAAGGATCCAGACAGGTAAGTCTCCTTTCTCATGTCCCTGTATCACATTAATGAACACTTAGGTGGGCGAAACGTTCCTTAGATACAGATACCCAGGCTCTGCACACATGTTCTATTAGTCAACTATTCGGTATGGGCAGGTAGGCCTGCTGCAGCATTTCTACATTCTTATGTACCTATGTAAATACCTTTGATCTAGTTAGACTTACGCTTGTCGATGATCGTGGAGATGTACTGGTCCTCGGCGAGGCTCTCCATGCTTACACCAGTCCACCCATGTCCCAACGACTTGCAGTAACCATTAGCTTGTTGCCAAGTATACTTTTGTCCTCCGTCAACGCACCAGGAGAAGTGGTAGTTGCTTCCACCCGCCGTAAAGTGTACCTAAGAGAAGTAGTCATTTTTAAGAAAAGTCCATTATTATTTGAGGATCTATAAGCCTGCTGGAGTACACCTCTGTTCTCTCGTTTTAGTTTCTTGAGGCTTGTAAAGGGTTCTTGATCTGAAGAAATAAAAATAATAATAATAATAATAATAATAATAATAATAATAATAATAATAATAATGCTTCCTCATCGCCTTACCTGACAAATCTCCCAGCTTAAGCTCACAATTTGCATTACTTAATATAATAAAACCTATTTCTGTGTGATAAACAATGGCAAGGAAACATGGGCTAACTTGTGTTGCTATGTAATTCTTACGCTTCTTTTTTGTTATAATAATAATAATATGTAATTCTTAATGAAAGACAGGTAGCACAGCACTGCCGGGTGTTCCCACTATCAACTATGTAAAGTAAAAGGACACAAGTGCAACTGATGTGACATTTTATTGTGGGAACGTTTCGCTCTCCAGGAGCTTTGTCAAGCCGTTACAAACAGTACATGGACACAGAGGGTATATATAGGTTCAGAGTGAGGTGCAATACTAGTGGTAATAGTAGTAGTAGTAGTAGTAGTAGTAGTAGTAGTGACTTAAGTTGTAGTAGTAGTAGTGACATAAGTTGTAGTAGTAGTAGTAATACAATATGGTAGAGCAATTAACTCGTATATGTTACCCAAGTAATAGCTTTTATATCCTTTTACTCATGTACGAGTTAATTGCTCTACCATATATATTGTATTACTACTACTACTACAACTTGTGTCACAACTACTACTACTACCACTAGTATTGCACCTCACTCTGAGCCTATATATACCCTCTGTGTCCATGTATTGTTTGTAATGGCTTGATAAAGCTCCTGGAGAGCGAAACGTTGCCACAATAAAATGTCACATTAGCTGCACTTGTGTCCTTTTACTTTACATATTGTCGGTAATTCTACCAACTTTATTACAACTATCAACTAGAATAAGGTAGCAGCACACTGAGGATATTCCCATTATGTCATTATTAACTAAGACTGAGTAGCACTAAAATGCTTATGTTCCTAAACGTGTTTTTTTTTTAATATATAAATCCATCATATAAACAAAAGAATGAATATTTATCATCCCGAGGCATGTATCAGAATACAATAAAATGAAGAATAAATATGAAATAGGTAGTTTTTGGTGACCAATTTTGAGAATATTTATTATTAATTAATATTAATAATTACTGCTAATATTATTAATAATAATAATTATTATTTCAAATATTATTATTAAATAATAACCTTGTTTTGAAGGTTAATTTTCAATTAGCTAAGGAACTCGGATTCTTACTTGCGAATATAATAATGAAGAAGAATAAAGGCGAGAAATAAAAATCTTAAGCTTCTTCATATGTAGCAGTCGGGGGGTTAATAAACAAACAAACAAACAAAAAAAAACAGCCGCAGTGCTATCTGTGAAAATAAACCATGCATAAAAATCTTACTCACCTGAGGGCTGATAAATCCTTTGCAAAATGCCGTAGAGAGAGGTCGTTCCTGAACCTGTGCTCCTCCTCCACTTCCTCCAATCCCTCCTAAGCCTCCTCCAATCCCTCCTAAGCCTCCTCCAATCCCTCCTAAGCCTCCTCCAATCCCTCCTAAGCCTCCTCCAATGCCTCCCTGGAACCCGGAGCCTCCTCCAATGCCTCCCTGGAACCCGGAGCCTCCTCCAATGCCTCCCTGGAACCCGGAGCCTCCTCCGCCGGGAAATTTAATCTGTCCTCCTTTTCCTCCAAAGGAACCATAGGTACCATAAGGACGCTGGGCTGACACTGCAGCCACCACACTCAGCAGAAATACAACATTCATCTGCAGAAAAAATAACTTGGCTAAATAAATCTGTCCTTGGATCATATCTGATTATTTCTCTTTTTCCAGGCACTGCATAACTAATAATAATAATAATAATAATAATAATAATAATAATAATAATAATAATAATAATAAATAATAATAATATAAGTAATAATAATAATAATAATAATAATAATAATAATAAATAATAATAATAATAAAGTAATAATAATAATAATAATAATAATAATAATAATAATAATAATAATAATAATAATAATATAAATAATATAAATAATACCACAAATAATAGTAATATTAATAAAAATAATGAAAGTGTTTATAATACTTTAAATAATTTTATTATTATGCTTTATATCCGATAATAAAAAGCTCAATAAAATAAGAGTAAAAATAGAAAATAGTTGAGAATAAATATAATCGAGAAAATTTATATTAGTTATATTAGTAAAATATATTTGGTAAAGTGCTGAGTAAATAAAAATAAATTCACAAGAAAAAGACCAGTAATTAGTTAATAATAAAATATTAGATATTATTAGCTAGATACTGATTCTACAGGCAGGATCAACACACAGCTTTATGAATAGGTATGACAGGGCATAATTTAAACTTTAATAAAGCTAGAGGCGTCCTAAAGTCAATTATTTCTTTTCCCTTAGAGAAAATTAATGATGCTTTACTGCAATAAATATACGAGAGAAGGAATTATAATTAGAAGAAGGAATTATATTTAACCATGATCTGACCTATAAATTACTTTACAGACATTTTATTAAGCAAAGATCTGACCTAAAATATGACTGTATTGACTATATTAAACGGAGACCTGACCTAAAAATAACTTTACTGACTTTTTATTTAACGAAAATCTGACATAAAAATTACATTATTAACTCTTGGTAAGATTACATTTACTGCAAAGTGTCGTCGTCTGAACAGAAAGGAAACATTATATGTACGTCTTGAGGTATGCAATATAACCAGAGTTAATATAGTAATATTCTCAGAGCTTGGAATATTGCTATGTATCACTGAGGTTATCATGCATATTAAGATATTACTTTCTGTCTGTGGTCTTATTGCACCTTGAGGTATATATACCTAGGTCTATATACTCTGAGAGCTTATTTTGATCCCTACTTGAGGGATTAAGGTATTCTTGACTAGTGGAGAACAGGATACAGTCAGGTTTAATGTCTCTCGTGTAGTCCTCAAGCTATATATGATATTATATATCAGGCTGAGAGATTGTTTACCTCAAACTAACTCCTCATCTTCCATCTTTCTCTGCATTGGACTGAAGAAGCCACTGGCTAGCGAAACGTTCTCAGAATAAGGATACCCAAGCATCCAAGTGTTGCATATATGTCTCATTTATGAACTTCTTATCTGTTTATTAGACCATTTATTCACATATGAGATGTCGTTACTAAAATAACTCTGTCCACCAAAGAACAGACAAACAGGTGACTTAGGCAACGGAACCTGACCTTACTAAAGTTGATCACCTAATTCACCTGATCTCTGTCCACTATACTTTCTGCATTTCTTCATTTCTTCAGTACTCTGTATTACTATTACAGATTGATGGACTGACCACATCGACTCAAGGCTGAGGGACCGATTACCTCAAACTCCTCCTGTTCTTCACCGTTCTCCTTTGTATGGACTGATGAAGCCACTGTGTGGTGAAACGTTTCCTCACTAAAGATAACCAAGTGTTGCACATGTGTATCAGAAAAAAATCATACATCGGGACAAGATATTAATGCAACATTTCACTCTGGACTTGATAGAGCTACACTGGGTTAAACGTCGTTAACGCAAACTTTCTCCCTACTTAATTAACGAGTCTGTATATTACCCCTATATTAGCCTTTCAGCCGAGCGAAACATCGTTCTAATTAAAGTTTTCTTCACGTACCTCTGGAGAACGAGTAGGACTCACCTTGACCATCGAGGATGTGATATCATTGGGTTTGAGCTCCGCGTTATATATATACGTAGTCTCGTCAGCTCACCTGACTGCAGTCCGTGGGGGTGAACGCTGGGCTTCCCGGCTCTATAATTAGGTGGAACAAAAGATATGTTTTTAAATCCACAAGGGCTTCTCTCTCACTCTACTGCCAGAGTTTCTCTCTCCATGTGATGGAGATGAATGGTATTAAATGTCGACACGATGATGTGTGTGTTGGTGGTGGAAGTGTGTGTTGGTGGTGGAGGTGTGTGTTGGTGGTGGAGGTGTGTGTTGGTGGTGGAGGTGTGTGTTGGTGGTGGAAGTGTGTGTTGGTGGTGGAGGTGTGTGTTGGTGGTGGAGGTGTGTGTTGGTGGTGGAGGTGTGTGTTGGTGGTGGAGGTGTGTGTTGGTGGTGTAGGTGTATTGGTGGTGTAGGTGTGTTGGTGGTGGTGTGTGTTGGTGGTGGAAATGTGTGCTGGCGGTGTGTGTTGGTGGGGTAGGTGTGTGTTGGTGGTGTAGGTGTATGTTGTTGGTGGTGTAGGTGTATGTTGGTGGTGTAGATGTATGTTGGTGGTGGTAAGTGTTGGTGGTGTAGGTGTGTTGGTGGTAAGTGTTGGTGGTGTAGGTGTGTTGGTGGTGGTGTGTGATGGGTTGGGGTTGGGAAGTCTGGGGACTTTCCCCGTCTAGCGTCACTCCGACCGCTGCGTTGTTCCTCACGGAAAACCACGACCACCACCCTCTTATTATTACGTACCTTCATGGGGAAGAGAGAGTCATGCAGTGCCTGTGGAGGGAAAGAAAATGAGCTAAGATTCGAGGAAAGGAAAGGTAGATGCATGTTTTTTTTAAATCAAGAGCCCAATACCAGCATCATGGTACCTCTCTTCAACAGTCAAATTCACTACCACCACAATAAATCACTTCTGACGTCTCCTAAACTTCCGCAACTACTATCACAACTACCACTAGCATTATCACATTACAAATGGTATACAATAACAGCAGATTAATGAAAAAAATACATGTACAACACACTCAAGGCAGAGGGACTGACCACTTCAAAACTACCTCTCTACTTCTCCATTGTCTCCAGTGTTATGGGATCATTTATTCGCCTAAAAAAGCCTGCTGAGCAGGCGAAACATTTCGACACTTAAGGATATCTAAGTGAAACATAAGTCTCATTCATCTGCTACTAACACTATAATCACTAATGAAAGTACCAGGGTTCAATATCCAGGTAAGGCAGGAAGTAAGCGCAAATCTAACTCCTGCTGCTTCTAAGTAGAGTTAGGTGGAGAGGACGTCTTACAAATAACTAAATTTTAAAGTACAAATTCCTCTTAAATTTGTTTAAGGATTCTCAAGGATTCTCACGAACGAGTAAAACGAGAAAGTTTTTGTACGATTTTTTCCCCAGCTTGCAATATTCTGCTTTGTCTTCTAGGCCGACTGACGAAGGTGAACCCAAGACAGTGCTTATATTATTTTACTTCCCTGGGTGTTTTTGTTTGTGTTTGTGTGTATGTACTAACCTATTTGTGGCTGCAGGGGTCGATTCACAGCTCCTGACTCCGCCTCTTTATTAGTTGCTACTAGGTCACTCTTCATGCTATATGGGCTTTATCATACCTGTTCTTAAAGCTATGTATGGGTTCTGCCTCCACTACATCACTTCCCAGATTATTAACTTCCTGACAACTCTGTGACTGAAGAAATACTTCCTAACATCCCTTTGACTCATCTGAGTCTTCAGCTTCCAATTGTGACCCCTTATTGCTGTGTCCCATCTCTGGAACATCCTGTCTTCGTCCACCTTGTCTATTCCACGCAGTATTTTATATGTCGCTATCATGTCTTCCCTGACCCTCCTGTCCTCCAGTGTCGTCAGGCCAATTTCCCTTAACCTTTCTTCGTAGGACAATCCCCTTAGCTCTGGGACTAGTCTTGTTGCAAACCTTGTGTGTGTGTGAGTGTGTGTGTGTGTGTGTGTGTGTGTGTGTGTGTGTGTGTGTGTGTGTGTGTGTGTGTGTGTATGTGTGTGTGTGTGTTTGTGTGTGTGTGTGTGTGTACGTGGCTACGAGTGGGGTTCACCATATCAAGTCCAACAACCTTCCTTCATCAGGTGACAAGACAACATTAAGAGGATACTGTCCCCAGAATCTTAACGTCACCGAAGTAGGAAAAATGTGAAGGAGGAAATCCATATGAATGTATGTTATATATATATATATATATTATATATATATATATATATATATATATATATATATATATATTATATATATATATATATATATATATATATATATATATATATATATATATATATATATATACATGTATATTAAGATATATTTTTACGCGTGTATGTATTTTGCAGCGATCAATACTGAAAATACACACACACACACACACACACACACACACACACACACACACACACACACACATCACTGTGTAGCTAAAACCACTCCTTTAAGACTCACCTAAAGTTGTCAGGCCTGTTAATCTTTCTCTACCTCTGTCTTCCTTTTCAGCCACAATTTTTTTCATTGTTGTATTTTTCTCGTCTTACCCTCCCATTTTTGCTATTGATCTTATACACCAAAAAAATACTATAGGAAAACACTGACGTCAGTGCTTTAGGGTTCTACAGCCACTGAGAGTGGAAAATGTCTTCAATTAAGTTGTCCTGCAGCCCGATCGCTAGAGCACTCAGCTCACACACTGAGGTTCAGGGGTCGATTCCCAGTACTGGTGGTAACATTAGGACGAGTTTTCTTAAGACACATGCTGTCTCTGTTCACCCATCGGTAGTCGACTGGTGTAGGTCGCATCCTGGGGACAAAATGGACCGAATTTGCCCGAAATATTCTGCATAACACGGGGTTTTCTATATAGTAGTATGTCACTGATGTCAGTTATTGTCTGTTTATCTTGTATATGTACTTATAGAAATAAAGATTATTATCATTATTATTAATTACAAATAGGTCTCGCACTTTGGAAGTTACATAAACATGATTACACATAGGTAACGACATATGGACAAGGACACAGGTAAACACACACACAGGTAACCACACACAAGTACAAAGATTCAAACATAAAATAAATATGATCTCATATGTGTCACTGAGAGGACCCAGCAACATTCTTGCACTTCCTGCATAACATCCTACACAGGTTATCTTTGAGGGTCCCCAGCAACATCCCACACAGGATATCCTTGAAGCTGTACAACATCCTATCAAGGATATCCTTGAATTTACATAACATCCTACACAGATTATCCTTGAAACTATACACCAACATCCTACATATACTTTATCCTTCAATCTACCAACTAGAGGTCAAGTCAATGGTGTTCCTCGTCTCCAATGCACTATCTCAACGTCCCATCACAGGACCCAGGAGACACTTCTTTCTTGATATCCACGCAAGAGGTCGAGCCAGTCATAATAAAAAAGTTACCCTGGATGATGTTGTGTTACCCTTTCGGGTTTAGCGCATAAATTAATAATAGTCTTGTCGAAGATAATAATAATGATTATTATTATTTATATTATTATTATTATTGTGATGATAAAGATATCAAGTTCGAAAAGTTCAATTTATGAAGAGGGAAAAATGGCAAGCTCTTAGCATGGGACTATACCTGTGTGTCCACACTGGCTGACACCTCTATCCATCACAGTGTCGGGCGACAGGGAGGAGCTGCTGACCACAAGGAGGAGTACAAGATCGGCAAGTACAGGGACATAAGCCAACAGCATCAATTTGTCCCATTGGGATCAGAGACCACACATACCACACGTTTCCTTAAAGAACTGGGTTCCAGACTCATCGACACCACCAGGGACCCAAGGGCAGCCACTTTCAAGTTCCAGCGCCTCAGCGTGGCCAACCAGAGGGGAAACGCGTGCTGTATACTGGGCTCGCGTCGGGCTTCGGAGGAGCTGGAAGAGATTCATAACCTTTGATATATTGTACCAATGTACTCATGTTTGTGTTTTCTATCAATGTATTCTGTCTATTAATAAAGTACATACAAAATATAAATTATAGGGGGTGGTAGGAGAAGAAAATATTCAAACAGCTCTGGGGAGAACCTTGAGTTTTCCCCGAGGTACGTTTATTGTCTTTTCTGAAGATGAGGGTCCCCAGTAAAGTTCTTGAGGTATATATATATCTTTCTTTCTTTCAACACACCGGCCGTATCCCACCGAGGAGGGGTGACCCAAAAGGAAAAACGAGTTTCTCCTTTTACATTTAGTAATTTATACAGGAAAAGGGGTTACTAGCCCCTTGTTCCTGGCATTTTAGTCGCCTCTTACGACACACATGGCTTACGGAGGAAGAATTCTGTTCCACTTCCCCATGGAAGTAAGAGGAAATAAACAATAACAAGAACTAATAAGAAAATAGAAGAAAACCCAGAGGTGAGTGTGTATATATATGCTTGTACATGTATGTGTAGTGTGACCTAAGTGTAAGTAGAAGTAGCAAGACGTACCTGAAATCTTGCAGGTGTATGAGACAGAATAAAAAGACACCAGCAATCCTACCATCATGTAAAACAATTACAGGTTTCCGTTTTACACTCAGTTGGTAGGACGGTAGTACCTCCCTGGGCGGTTCCTGTCTACCAACCTACTACCTATATATATATATATATATATATATTATATATATATATATATATAAAATATATATATATATATATAATATATGCAATAAGATCACAGTAAACAGGTAATTTCAGAATATGCAAAACAACCACTGTGAAAGAATAGAGAAATTCCAAGCGCTTTCGTGGCTACTCACATTATCACATTATCATTGTTCCTTGATAACGTGAGTAGTCACGAAAGCGCTTGGAATTTCTCTATTCTTTCACAGTGGTTGTTTTGCATATATATATATATATATATATATATATATATATATATATATATATATAATATATATATATATATATATATATATATGTGTGTGTATATATATATATATTCTTTTATTTTTGTGTCTTTATTGCTGTTCATCTCCCAACTGAACATTCAACGAATTATTTAGTTCAACGTTCAATTGGATGATGAACAAGCACAAGGATCGAATCTGGGGAA